CCCCATCTTCCCCTCTCCGTGTGTAGCAAAAACAACCAAAGCCTGATTCCCATGCAAGACCCAACATTGTCCAGTTCCCAGTTCCCACACTTGCTAGATGTATTTGAGGTTCGTTAAATGCCCTGTCTTTAATTACAGTCGTCTTGGTGATTGTGGAGGCTTCATTCCAGAACTGATGTTTGGATTGTTTGTGGAGGCTTCGTTCCAGAACTGCTGATATTTGGATTGTCCCCTACAAATCTTAGAATGTGATCCCCAATCTTGAAATGTGATCCCCACTGTTGGAGGTGGGGCACAATCGTGAGGCTCGGGGAGGTGGATCCCTCATGAGTGGCTTGGTGCCATTCTGGCAGTAATGAATAGATTCTCACTCTCCTAGTCATCTTGAGAGTTGGTTAGTTAAAAGATCCTGGTAGTGCGCGCCTGTGGTTCCAGCTACTTGGAAGGCTGAGGAGGAAGGATCGCCAGAGCCCAGCAGGTTGAGGCTGTGGTGGTTGGGAGTGGCCACTGCACTCCAGTCTGGGCGACAGAGTGAGACTCCCAACTCGGGGGGGAAAAAAAAAGATTGGGGGTTCAGAGTCAGGGGAAGGTGGTACATTCTGGTCATTGAGTAACAGCTCAGTAACGTGTGAAGTGATTCTCCAGCCAAAGTGCTGCTTATAGGCATCCTTGAAGGATGGGGACATCTAAAACCAGGAAGCAGGTGCCAAGACACGACAGCTGAGAAAAGGATGAGGGTCAGGAAGAGGGGAGAACACGATGGCCGCAGAGGATATGTAAACCCTTGTGTCCCTTGCTGCTCTGTTTTTTTTTTTTTTTTTTTTTGAGTTGGAGTCTCACTCTGTCACCCAGACTGGAGTGCAGTGGCCGCTCCCGGCCACCGCAGCCTCGACCTGCTGGGCTCCGGCGATCCTTCCGCCTCAGCCTTCCAAGTAGCTGGAACTACAGGCGCGCGCTACCACGCCCAACTAATTTTTGATTTATTGTAGAGATGAGGTCTTGCCAAGTTGCCCAGGTGGGTCTCGAACCCACGGGCTCAGGCAATCCACTCACCTCAGCCTCCCAAAGCGCGGGATTACAGGCTGAGCCACTGAGCCCAGCTTGCTGCTCGGTTTTACCAAGCACCAGTTTAAGTAGTGGGAAACTGCTGGGGTTGGGGGGAGGGCACACTTCATCAATAAGGGTACCTGATCTCAAACCAGTGGGAACCAAAGTGAGGCCCAAATTTGACCTGTGCAATGGCCATTTGTATACCTAACCCCGAATTGTACCCATCTTTAAAAATAATAAACACCAGTTTAGTAAAACCAGTTTTAAAGCACACCTAGCCTAACTGGCAGGGGCTGAAGAAACCCTGGGACTCTGACCCCCAAGCAGTCCGCCTGCCCTGCCTGCCTGTAGCCAACTCTCAAATCCCAGCCCTAGAGCCCTGCTGCCGAGCTGCAAGCAGACTTGGCCTGGCGGGCAGGGGCTGAAGGAAACTGGGCTGTGTCTCCAATAAAACTGGTTTTCAAAGTGTGCTCTCCAGATCCCTTGGGCCGTTTAGTGAGAAGCATCCTCCTAAACTAAAAAGTTGCCTTTTGTGCTGGTTTGACATTTGCACTGATGCAATGACCAGTCAAACTGCATCAAACTGCGTCAGCTTGAGTCAGGGCAATGTCACCAATTGCTAGTAGTCATTCTTTACCACCACACACTTGATTGCTAAGGCCAGGAGTTTGAGACCAGCCTGGACAACATAGTGAGACACTGTCTCTACAAAAAAATTAAAAATTAAAAATAAATGCAGCAAAAAACATATCTGGCCTACTTTGATTGTAAGCCATAAGACCTCCATTCCAGAGGGGATGCTGTCCCACATCCAGAAGGAAGGAAGGCTGCTCAGAGAAACCTAGGCAGACCGGCCTGGCTGGGTTTCCCCACTCTTGTCATTTGATCATAGCCCCTTTTGACCAATCATATCTGTACATGGATGTTCATACTTTGTTGAACCTAAACCCCAAAATGGACAGTTTCCATTGTATCTTGAGTCTTGATTCTGAAGGCTGCCGTGTCACATAAAACTATGATCAAATAAATGTGAGTGCTTTTTCTTCTACTAATCTACCTCTTGCCAGCAACTTTTAGAGAGCAGTGGGGCAGGTCTCCCTTGGCCCCACACTAGCTCAGCCCAGTAAGCAGCAAGAAACATCATTTCTAGGTCAGAGCACTTACTTGCCAGGGCAGACTCTCCAGGACTTTTCCCACTGGGCACAGCACTCACAGACTCAGGTAGTAGCTGCTCTGTCAGTCCCAGGCTCCCAGAAGCCAGAATGATGCGAGTCCTCTGTCAACCAGCAATGGACAAGGAGCACGAGTGAGAATTCAGCTCTTCACTGGTTTAGACCTAGAAAACATACCCCCCCACCATCCGTATAGCCTCCCTTCCTGGGCAGCCTCCCTCCTCTATTGACTCTTTCCATCTAGATCTCATCTCAAGGTTGGGTGCGTGATAAACTAAAAGTGAAGCAAAGGTCTCCAAAGTTCACGTACATTGATCCAGGCAGGCCCGATCTGGTCTGAACCAGCCCAGGGAACAAATGCCTCAAGGAAGGCAGGCCCAAGGAGGCTCACTGTGTACAAACACAAGACGTGGTCCGTGGGCACAGAGAACACGCCACCCACGGCCTCAGCATGACCTGTGTGCCCAGGAGGCCGAGGGGAAGGGCACATCCCTGGTTGGCCACCCCAGAACCCCTCCCCAGGTTCTACCCCCTTGCTTGGGGCCATAGCCAAAGTGTGCTCACATTGTCACTGAATATATGTTGCCCTACATTGCCCAGTCCCCAACCCACCATGGGGACGTTTGCCTTGAAGGACACAGTCACAACTTTCGTTTATCCTCACATGGATTTTATGCCCTCCCATCTATTTTGAAGACCGTGGCTACCTGTCCATGTGCTCACGTACCATTATGGGGCTCATAACAAGCCCAGCACATCTCCAAGGCCTTCCTGGGAGGCTGGATGGACGAATGGGCACATTTTGCGGGACCATCCCCCACAGGCAAGGGCTTTGGTCTGTGGGAGAGCCACAGTCGAGGGTCCATGGTGGACCGGACTGTGCTCAGGCTTTTACTCCCTAACATTATTAAAAAGGTCTCTCCGTCCCCATTTGACAGATGCAGCGACTGAGACTCAGAAAGGTCAAGTATGGTGAATTCCCAAGGTTCTCGGTTGCCTGGGCATTCATGTTGAATTTAAGTCGGACTTTTCTCATACCAGAAGCAGAGCTCAGTTACCCTTGACACAGTTTCCAGTTCTCCATCTCCTCCCAGTTCCTCAAGATCGTGGATCCAGACAACTGCCTTAGACATGGCCTCCTGGGGACCCCCTCCCCAACCTTCCTATGGGACAGCTAGAAACAACCGACTTGACCCACCCCACTGACCCCCATGCCCCTGGTACTGCACACGTCCACAGCCCCCTCTCAGTCACAGCATGAGTCCACGGGTCTCGGGTCCCACTTGCTCTAAACCCACCAATTAGAACTCCCCTTGAAAACTTCTCTTTCTCTCCTCCTCTTGTCTGTCTCTCTCTCATTTGTCTCTCTCTCATCTGTCTCTCTGTCTCTCTTGTCTGTCTCTGTCTCTGATTGCCTCTCTGTCTCTCTCATCTGTCTCTCTCATTGTCTCTCATCTGTTTCTGTCTCATTTCTCTGTCTCTTGTCTCTGTCTCATTGTCTCTCTCATCTGTCTCTCATCTGTTTCATTGCCTCTCTCATTGCCTGTCTCGCTCATCTCTGTCGTTTTTTGTCTCTCTCATTGTCTCTGTCTCATTGTCTCTCTCTCATCTTTGTCTCTCATTGTCTCTTCCTCTCATTGCCTCTCTGTCTCTCATTGTTTCTCATCTCTCTGTCTCTTATTGTCTGATTGTCTCTCCCAACTCTGTCTCTCTCTTGTGTGTGTGTGTGTCTCTCTCTCCCTCTTCCCCCCACCTGCTAGTTGAGTATGCATATCCCAGATAACACCCCCTTCCCATTGGCCCTGGGAAGTATGCTGTCCTCTTCTCTCTGGGATCTGTGAGCAATAAACTGCCTCTGTTATCCCTTGTATTCTGTGGAGTTGCCTCTTGTGTCTCTCCTGATGGAAAATCCAGTCCTAACTTCCTTCCTGGTCAGGGCACTCCTAGAGAGGAGTGATCTTGGTAGGAATACACTAGATATGAGTCAGACAAGAACCACCAGACACCTGCCAGGATAAAAGGCTTCCCATGGGAGGGACACCTGGTCTTGGGTCACACACAGGCATTAGGCCCTCAGCAAAGGTGAAGAAGTGTCCTGAGAAAGGCACCTTTTCCAAACCCACAATAAACCCCCAAGGGACCCTGTCATGGTAGAACCAGAGTACATAACCCATCCTGAGAGAGACCTCAAGACCAAATGAGAAAAACCACAGCATCAAGTCACTTGCCCAAAGTCACACTCAAGCACCCAGTAGGCACAGGTGCAGAGGCACTCACCGACTTTACCCCTTACCACCTCCATTCTTTTATTCGATTTTATTTTACTCAAGTCTGAGTCTTACTCTGTTGCCCAGGCTGGAGCACAGGGGCACAGATCACGGCTCACCACAGTCTTGACTTCCCAGGCTCAGGTGATCCTTCCTCCTGAGCTTCCAGAGTAGCTGGGACTACAGGCACACACATCACACCTGGCTAATATATATTTTGTAGAGGTAAGGTCTCACCATATTGTCCAGGTTGGTCTCAAACTTCTGGCCTCAGGAGATCCTCCCACCTCAACCTCCCAAAGTGCTGGCATTACAGGTGTAAGCCACTGTGCCCAGACACCACTTCCATTCTGACTGAACACAGGAGAGACCTTTGATGCAAATCCAGGCCCTAGACCCCAAAATACCAGTGTTTAGAAAACCACTGCTCAGGAGACAGCTGAATAATAACTTTAGTCTAGCGTTTTCTGTTATCTTAAAAAAAAAAAAGAAAAGAAAACGTAGACATTCAAAAGTTTAAAAAATCAGTTTATTAGCCTGATACAATTAGGTTACTGTTACAATTACTGTTACTTGATACAATTAGGTTACTTGATACAATTAGGTTACTCATTTTAATCTTAATACTTCTCATATTGCAATATATGAATGTGACAAACCCAAACCAGGCTGTCTTAAGACACAGAGAAATGTCAAATTAAGTTTGGCATCAGCCTTCCCCAGTGTATAGTGCATGTTCTTCCGGCCCCAGCGGATGTCACCACTTTAACGGATATGTTCATCACAGACCAGAAGGGCCACCCTTGCGCTGCCAGCTGGTCCTTGAAGAGCCCTGGGATTTTGCTAATAACTAAGGGATTGCACGATCATTCAAATCCTGCAGGTTCTGACCTAGTTTTTAAACTGTTTATTGAATGTGCATGTTACAAATTCAACTATTTCACGTGCTCACATTTTTTACTGACTATATTTCAGATGAAATAATGAATTTCAGGATCGCTACCTTTATTTCATAAGAATGTTAGATCAAGATCCAAGTATTTCAAAGCAAACTTTTAGACAGGAGCTGTTTCCAGGAGGCTCACGCCGGAGGGCAGCTACATATACCTGTTCAGCCACTCAATTAAATTCCTTCTGGCCTCGTCGATGTAGGCTTTGTCTGCTGGCAAGCAATCCTCTCTCTTCCGGTGCACGAACCCATGCGTCTGCCCGGAGAATGTTTTAATTTGATATGCAACTTTGCAGTGTTCTTTCAACTTCTGGGTCAGCAAAGAGACCTGAGAGGCAAGAGATTTCATGAACATAGAATTGTCACCCTTTCACAATATCTCCCGTTCGCCAAATCTCCAGCAACTGTTCATAACAGAGACTGAACTTTAAATTAGAAACAAGTTCCATCACTCTACTGACTTCTTCACTTTTACTTATTTACTTTATTATTATTACTATAATTTTGAGACAGGGTCTCACTCTGCCACCCAGGTTGGAATGCAGTGGCACAATCATAGCTCACTGCAGCCTTGACCTCCTGGACTCAAGTGATCCTCCCATCTCAGCCTCCCAAGTAGCTGGGACTATAGCTACTACCACTACCGCTGAGACTACAGGTGTGACCGTGAAGCCCAGCTAATTTCTTTTCTTAATTTTTTGTAAAGACCTGGTCTCACTATGTTGTTCAGGCTGGTCTTGAACTTCCGGGCTTAAACAATCCTCCTGCCTCGGCCTCCTAAAATGCTGGGATTTCAGGCATGAGCCACTGCGTCCAGCCTACTTTTAATTTTATAACTAACACAGTTCTCACTTCTGGCAAAGAAAAGATTTCAGAACAGTAAAAAGATCATAGAGCAGCAATTATTGGAGATAGTTCATTTAATTAGTTACTAATAACAGTAATTTCTAAGTGAGTACTTTTTTTTGTTCTTTAGAAACAGAGTCTTGCTAGGTGCAGTGGCTCACGCCTGTAATCCCAGCACTTTGGTAGGCGGAGGCGAGAGGATTGCCTGAGCCCATGGGTTCAAGACCCGCCCAGGCGAGACCTCATCTCTACAATAACTCAAAAATTAGCCAGGCATGGTAGTGCACCTGTAGTTCTGGCTACTTGGAGGGCTGAGGCGGAGGAATCCCCAGAGCCCAGCAGGTCAAGTCTATGGTGGCTGAGAGCATGCCACTGCACTCCAGTCTGGGCGACAGAGTGAGACTCCAACTCAAAGAAAGAAAGAAAGAAAGAGTCTCACTGTTGCCCGGGCTGGTCTCCAACTCTTAGCCTCAAGTAATCCTACCACCTCAGTCTCCCAAAGTGCTAGGATCACAGGCATGAGCCACTGCACCTTGGCTTAAGAATAATTTCTAAATGACTGCTTTTGAACCACACTTTTCTTCTGCTTTTTCCTCATTAACTGACAGCATTGAACAATTCCATATCTTTAGGACCATAGAGTTTATGGCAATTTCTGGGTTACACAGGGGGTTGGGAGACCAAGCCTATTTCTACACCAGGTAGCCAGGTCATGCCAGAACACTGCCTTCAGATGTCACCTTACTTAAGCATGTTTGGAGGTGGTTACAATTCCCAACCCATCTTTAAAATGTTAACACTTGGCCAGGAGTAATGGCTCCTACCTGCGATCCCAAAACTCTGGAGGCCAAGGTAGGATGATTGCTTGAGTCCAGGAATTTGACACCAGCCTGCACAACATAGCAAGACCTACACTCTACAATTAAAAAAAAAATTAGCCTGCTACTTGGAAGACTGAGACAGGAAGATCACCTGAGCCCCAGAAGCTGTAAGCATGCCACTGCACTCCAGGCTGGGCAACAGTGAGACTCCAACTCTAAAAATAAATGAATAAATAAAATAAAAATAGGCTCTGACAATGATGGAGACTGCACATTAAAAAAACACAGTGAGACTTCATCTCTAAAAAGAATTTAAGAATTAGCTGGACATGGTGGCATGCACCTATAGTCCCAGCGACTCAGGAGGCTGAGGTGGAAGGATCGCCTGAGCCCAGAAGGTAGAGGCTATGGTGAGCTGTGATCATGCCACTGCCCTCCAGCCCAGGTGACATAGTGAGACTCACAAAAAAAAATGTTAACACTGGAAAACACTTGAAGAAGCAAATGAATGCTTCATGACTCCTCTGCTCCGACCAAAACGCATGTAAATGAACAGGGGAAAGACTCACATTCTCCAGTGGAATCACAGCATCATTTTCAGCAAAAATGAACAGTGTGGGGTTCTTTAAACTGTAAACGTCTTCAGAATCCTTGATGATGCCTGAAAATCAAGTGCAGGAGTACCAGTAAGAGTCCCACATGCGTGCCACAGAAAACTGCGTGCACATGGGTTGATTTCTCAAAGTCAAATGTGGGTTTGGGGGCTTGGCTTTCTTTTTCATCCATTCCACAGACGTGGCCTGACCTAAGCAAGGGAGAACCCAAAAACCCAGAATTTATTTATAAAAAATTGCATATCTACTACATGCTTCAACTTCAGTCACCCTCAAAGTATTCTCCATTGGATGCAATATACCCATCGAAATGCTTTCTCCACTGCTCAAAACAGCTTTTGAGCTCATCAATTCTGATGGCTTTTAGTGCTTCACCGTTTTTTGTTTCACCTCTTCCACATTGGCAAAACGTTTCCCTTTGAGGACTTTTTTGTTTCTTCTTTTTCCTTTTCTTTTCTTTTTTTTTTTTTGAGTAGGAGTCTCACTCTGTCACCCAGGCTGGAGTGCAGTGGCATGCTCCCAGTCACTGCAGCCTCGACCTCCTGGGTTCCGGTGATCCTTCCACCTTACCCTTCTGAGTAGCTGGAACTACAGACATGCGCCACCACACCCAGCTAATTTTTTGATTTATTACAGAGATATGGTCTCACCAAGTTGCCCAGGCTGGTCTCAAATCCCTGGGCTTAGGCAATCCTCTTGCCTCTGCCTCCCAAATTGTTGGGATTGTAGGAGTGAGCCACCATACCCAGCCGAGGACTTTTCTCATCCAGAGAAATATACAAACAAAAAAAAAGTCGTTCAGGGTGAATTCTGGTGAATGGGGAGGTGGGGCATGGGGTCATGCCGTTTTGGGTCAAAAACCGCTGAACACGCAAGTGTGTTGTCATTGTGGAAGAACCAGTCACCTGTTTGCCAGAACAAGGGATGTTTCTTCCATAATGCAGTCTCTCACAACAACACTAGCTGCTACACTGATACCGATGGGTTCCTGGAACACTCACCTAATGGAGGAAGCCTGTATTACTGTTGGGAGCCAGCCACAGAGGCCCACCTGAACGTTAGGGATCCAGGTGGGCTGTGGACCCTGAGACCACTAGGATGCGTTCAGGAGCTGTTGGCCCATTTCCTCTTCCTTTTTTGCTATTTGGCACATCTCATCAGAAGGAATTCTGCTGACCTGAGCTGAAGGCATGGCTAACTCTAGAAACTCATTGTTCCTGTTTCCCATGAACTGCGGTTTCGGCTTAGGTATTAGATATAATGCAAACCCAGGTCACATTTGGGAGCCTACTATATGGTACAAGGTTGTTTATAAGATTTAAAAGTATATTTGTAGAATTAGTATATACATATGGAGAGTTGTTTTCAGCTTTAGATGGTATAGACGATTATCTAGAGTAACCAGAAATGGCCCAGCACAAACTTTGGGCTGGGCTGCATTCTTTTAAATCTGTTTTAGCTACAACTGGTATAGAGTCTTTTCTACTTATTATAAGAATTAAATCTGTTTTATTCATGGAAAGTATCCTAGGGTAGGCTCAGCTTATGTCGAGAATTATGTTAGTTCAAGCATGATCAAACATGATATTTTGAGGTTTAATAAGAATACAGCTAACTTTAGAAATTTCATTGTTCCCATTTTCTACTAATTGCGATTTTGGCCTTAGTACAATTTACAGTTTATATTTGGGTTTTATTTTAGAAGCTTTATTGCTGATGATCAGCTTTATATATTAGAACTAGGAATTAGAAACTTTTATAGAAGTTAAAATAGATATGTAGGATTTTAGAATAGTCATTTTGTTAAGAGATTGCAATCAATTGTTCCTAGAAACAGGCCAGCGTGATCTTTGGACTGGACCACATTCTTTAGGAACTGGTTTGAGCTATAATTAAGAGTTTCTCTAGTGTAGGTAGAATTAGCACAGAATAGAAAGGTATTCGGATTTAAGTTAGTCATTAGATGTTGTGTATGCATAAGCTTTAGAAGTTATTGATTATTAGAATATTAGCATGTTAGAATTGTTGTATTGCTTTTGAGGAACATTAACCAAGCATAAGGAACAGTGAGATAATTTGGGGATTGTCCTTCCTCATGCTTGGGAAAACGCCTGGTGGGTGGGGGATGCCCTCATCCACCTGGCTTTGTGTTCACGTAAAAGTCTTGTGATTTAATTGGGACTGTCCTTCCTCATACCTGAGGAAACACCTGGTGGGTGGGGGACACCCCTCATCCACCTGGCTTTGTGCTCACATGAAAGTCTTGTGATTTAACCTGTGAAAATTTGGAATAAAAGACTTACGGTGTGTCCCATTAAATGGCTTCTGCACTAGACAGAGTCCAGTCTCTTTCCTTCTCCCCCCTTTCTTTCTTTCTCTTTATATCTATCCCTCCATCTTTCTTTCTTTTAATATCTATCCCTCCGGTTTAATCGCCGATGCTATCTTTCCTACCAGGGACCCCAATATCTGCAGGGGCTGGCCCCCCACATATTACAAAGGGCCTGCCCTCCAAAAGGTAATTCCAGTTTTTATCGGGTCCCCATCATAAGATGGGTGTAAAAGAAGAATTTATGTCGTGAAACCCTCCTACTCTCCACTTGATTTACGAGGGACCAGGTATTAAATAACAAATCAGACCTTGTAGGCTGCTTGGAATGTAAAGTCATAGCAGCAAACCAGGCATGGTGGCACATACCTGTAGTCCCAGCTACTTGAGAGGTCCAGGTGGGAGGACTACCTGAGCCCAGGAAGTTGCAGCTGCAGTTAAGCTATGATTGCACCCCCACATTCCAGCTTGGGCAACAGGGCAAGACCCTGTCTCTAAAGAAAAAAAAATTGGCTGGGCATAGTGGCTCAACCCTGTAATCCCAGCACTCTGGGAGGCCAAGGTGAGAGGATTGCCTGAACCCGAAGGTTGGAGGCCAGCCTGGGCAACTTGGCGAGACCTCATCTCTACAATAAATAAAAAAATTAGCCAGGTGTGGTAGCGCGAGCCTGTAGTTCCAGCTACTTGAAGGCAGAAGGATTGCTGGAGTCCAGCAGGTCGACACTGGGGTGGCCGTGAGTGTGCCACTGCACTCCAGCCTGGGCGAGAATGAGACTCCAACTCAAAAAAAGAAAGAAAAGAAAATTGTAATAAAAAAAATAATAAAGATGGAGAAACAACCTGAGAAATGCATAGTGCACTGAGTAGTTTGTTTGAAGCGGTTATCTGAGCAGGTATTTATGCTCAGACAAGACCACAGGTATAAAACAGTGAAACTGCTCAGTCCTGGCAGTTCAGTGTGTAAAAATCAGTTTTCATCCTTTGTCTCAAAATTTGAGATTCATTTTGAAATTAAAAGCATGCTCTGCCCAACCCAGGCTGTCTGAAAACAACCTGTGCTCATTTCCCCGGGAAAAGAAACAGTTTTGCAGTCAGTTACCATCTTAAGCTAAGAATAGGCAGAGATCCCGACTGCCAACTTTTTTCCCACTTCCTGCTGGCAGGAAAGAAAAGCGAAGGACCAGAGAGAGCCTCCACTCACCTGTAGCTCCTCTTTAGGAGGAGGGAACCACGGGAAAGATGGCCACAATCCCTGCCCCACTCTGGCAAAGCCACGTTAAGGGGCTGGGCCTGGCTGGAGGCTGCTCAGGTTGAAGTCCTGCCAGGCTCAGCAGCTCACGTACTACACAGCAGTGGCCAGGAGGTGGCGCCGGTGAGGCGTCCATGCCTGAGCGCCTTCTGCTAATTCACACAAAGGCTCCCTCTGGACATTGGTTAGCCCCGTTGTTCCGAGAAACAATGCGCCACGTATGTTCTTTTGTGTCATAAGTCAATATTTAAAGGGTCTTTTTTGTTGTTGTTAATGCTAGAAGCAGGCTTTTTCACCCGATGGTGTGAAAGTGATGCGATTCAACAGAAACTGTACTTGAGTACCCATACAATATTCTGTTTTCTTTTTCTTTTCTTTTCTTTTTTGAGTCAGAATCTCACTCTGTCGCCCAGGCTGGAATGCAGAGGCACACTCACAGCTACCGCAGCCTCGACCTGCTGGGCTCAGGTGATCCTTCCGCCTCAGCCTTCCAAGTAGCTGGAACTACAGACCCATGCCAACACGCCTGGCTAATTTTTTGGTTTATTGCAAAGATGAGGTCCCACCAAGTTGCCCAGGCTGGTCTTGAAACCATGGGCTCAGGCAATTCTCTCACCTCTGCCTCTCAAAGTGCTGGGATTACAGGCGTGAGCCATCACACCCAGCTAATACTCTGTTCTCTAACAAACAGCATTCAATCAACCACATGAGATAGTCAACACTTTATTATAAAATAGGCTTTATGTTAGATTATTTTGCCCCAATGTAGGCTAATGAAAGTGTTCTGAGCACGTTTAAGGTTGGCTGGGCAAGGCTATGATGATCTGTGGGCTAGGTATTAAATACAAGGAGAGAGTCAAAAAAGAAAAGAAAAGAAAAACGGAATTTATTTATTTAAGATTGTGTATTTATTCTTCCATGTTTAAACTTCAGCCATTTTCAAAATACTCTCCGTTGGATGCCATACACCTATCGAGATGCATTTTCCACTGTTCAAAACAGTATTCAAAGTGGTCAGTTTGGATGCCTTTTAGTGCTTCTGCCTGCCATTTTTGTTTCACCTCCTCCACAGCGGCAAAATGTTTCCCCTTGACAACTTTTTTCATCGGGGAAACAAAAGAAATGTCACTCAGGGCAAGATGTGGTGAATAGGGAGGGTGGTGCATGGGGATCATTTGGGGGGTTTTTATTTTTATTTTTTACTTTATTTTATTACAAAGATGTGGGGTACAAGTCTGGATTAGGTACATAAGCAATAGATGTCCAGGTGAAGTTTGGGCCTCCAGCTGGTCCTCCCTTCCTGGACAAAAACTGCTGAACACCTGGCATGGTGTGGGCAGGTGCCCTCATAAATCACCCATCATGAAAGGGGCAAGCACATTGAAAGACTCTTCAAAAACAATTCATTGAAGCTGAATGAATGCACCCTCTCACGACTGATACACTAATGCTGATGGGTTCCTAGAACACTTACCTAGGGGGGAAGTCTGTACTACAGGGGGCCCACCCTCCAAAAGAGAATTCTGGTTTTTTCGGGGGGGTCCCCTCTCATACATTTTCAAGTTGGGATTTTTTTCCTTCCTTCCTTTCTTTTTGGAGTCTCACTGTCACCCAGGCTGGAGTGCAGTGGCATGATCACAGCTATGCAGCCCCGATCTCCTGGGCTCAGGTAATCCTCCTGCCTCAGCCTCCCAAGTAGCTGGGACTACAGGTACATGCCACCACATCTGGCTAATTTTTTTTATTTATTGTAGAGACAAGGTCTCACCAAGTTGCCCAGACTAGTCTCAAACTCCTGGCCTCAAGCAATTCTCCTGCCTCAGCCTCCCAAAGTGCTGGGATTACAAGTGTGAACCACCACACCCAGCCTAATTTCAGATTCTTAAAGCCAATGTCCCTGGGATGAGCTGTCTCTGCACTATTGAGCTTTGTGTTACACTGGGGGAAGGAGGCCTGTGCTGTTAAGCATTCATTCCTCCCTTTGCATGGTATAAAAATACACGAGTCAGACTTACCATACACGGATACCCCCGCCCTGAACTCTGGGTATTTCATCATCACGTGATGGACGGCAACTCCACCCCAGCAGAATCCCACGATGCCGATTTTCTGGGCGTAACAGTGTTGCTTCAGATACCTCAAGACAGCATCAATCTCTCTGGAACAGAAAGAAATGGTATTCGAGAATCAAGGGTGATTTTGTGAGCCCTCCAAGGGCTCTGCTGACGGTAACGTACTGTATTAGCAACCGTTCTTTGAAGTTGAAGTTGTTTTTGTTTTTTTTTAGTTGGAATCTCACGCCATCGTCCAGGCTGGAGTGCAGAGGCATGCTAAGGCTACTGCAGCCTCGACCTGCTGGGCTCCGACAATCCTTCCACTTCAGCCTTCCAAGTAGCCAGAACTACAGGCACACGCTACCACGTCCAGCTAGTTTTTGGTTTGTTTGGTTTTTTTTTTTGATTTATTGTAGAAATGAGGTCTCACCAAGTTGCCCAGGCGGGTCTCAAACCTGCGGGCTCAGGCAATCCACTCGCCTCGGCCTCCCAAAGGGCTGGGATTACAGGCTGAGCCACCGAGCCCGGCTGCAATTCATTATTGTCTTATTACAATAGCAGAATTTAAGGAATACTGCAAAATCAAATGTCACAAGCACTTTTTGGTTTTGTTTTTTGTTTTTTGGTTTTCACATTTTTCTTGAACGCTTTGATTTTAGGAATAACTGCCTTAATTAGAGCCGGCACCCAGGAAATGAGAGGTGCTGGGAGGAAGAGTCCTGGGGATGTCTTCTGATGTGGCCCAGTCCTGGCTTGGAGTCTCTTTTTGGGTTCTATAAACCAAGAAATCCCTTGACCCCTTAAGCAGGAAGCAATCAGGATGGGTTTTCTGTCATGTGCAAACCAAAGATGCCTGACTGAATACAACACAAGGATGTTTATCTGCTTTCAAGGTCACTGTTCCTGTTGTATGCCCCACTGTAACCTTAAAGATGTGACTTTCCTTTCCCCTGTGGAAAGTGCTCTGTACCTGTCTGCAACAATCTCCCTGCCATGGCTACTTTCTTATTTTTGTAGAGATGAGATCACACTATATTGCTCAGGCAGGACCTGAACCCCTGGGCTCAGGAAATCTGCTCACCTCAGTCTCCCAAAATGTTGGGATTACAGGCGTGAGCCACCACAGCCGGCCTAGTTCACTCTTAATGTCTTGCTTTATTTTTCTTGGGGTGGCAGGTTGGGTCCCTGGGAGGCCAACTACGAAATAGAGTGGAGTACAGGAGGCTCATTTCATTATTATTATTATTATTATTATTATCATCATCATCATCATCATTTTGAGTTGGGGTTTCACCCAGGCTGGGGTGCAGTGGTACGACCACATCTTACCATAGCCGCGACGAAACAGGGAAGAATCTGGCCCCGGGTGAATGTTGTGAGATGAGGCAAGGCTGAGGAACAGGAATTAGCCCTCAGCAGGACAGGGGCCCCTACGATGCCTCATGTGGTGTGGACAGAGGTGCCACTCAGGGTCCATCAGGCCAGGAGAGGTGGCAGCCCGAGTCAGCTTGGGAGAGCTGGGAAGTTCAAGGCACTCTGGAGGTAGGAGGAAGGGCAGAAGGCCAGGCTCGGTGGCTCACGCCGACAATCCCAGCATTTTGGGAGACCGAGGTGAGGACTGCTTGAGGCCAGGAGTTTGAGGCTGCAGCAAGCTATGGTCCTGTCACTGCACTCCAGCCTGGGTGATGGAGTGAAACCAGGGTGAGAGTCCTAGGGAGTGAGTGGTCACAGGTGAGTGGCCACGTGACTGGCAGCTGGACTGGCCTGGGCTTGGGATGGTTTATCAAACAGCAGGTGGATGAGAACCAATCTTTGGGCCATGTGCTTGGTGGGAGAGTGTTTGGCAGAACAAATGGCCACAGTGAGTCAGGAGGCACTGGGGAAACCGCCTCCCTGGGCTCAGGCTTTCTTGTGTGGGAGGAGCTTGTCCTCAGAGAGCATCTTGGCCTCCCTTCCCCTCTGTTCAAGAACCTCCATTCAGAAGGAAGGGGGCCTGGTTGGCAGCTGGCAGCCATGGTCCTTCTTCTAGCCTGGGTGGTGTACATGGGATAAAAGGCCACAGCCTGGGGGATCCCTCGGTGTTTCTTCCCTTTGCTCCTCAGACCCTGGCAAGAGCAAGCCTGATCAGGCGGGTCTGCTATAAAGACTTAAAAATCTCAGCCAGGTGCAGTGCTCACACCTATAATCCCAGCAATGTGGGAGGCCAAGGCAGGAGGATGGCTTGAGCCCAGGAGTTCGAGGCAGAGGTGAGCTGTGACCGTGCCACTGTGCTCCAGCCTGGTGACAGAGCAAGACCCTGTCTCTAAAGATAAGTAAATAAAGACCTAAAGTCTCCTTCAAAAACAATGAAGGAAGGTGGGGCATGGTGTCTCATGCCTATAATCCCAGCACTTTGGGAGGCCAAGGCAAGAAGGATTGCTGGAGCCCAAGAGTTTGAGACCAGCCTGAACAACATAGCAAGACTCCATCTCTAAAATAATACTAAAATAAAATACAGGCTGGGCGCAGTGGCTCACACCTGCAATCCCAGCACTTTGGGAGGTGGAGGTGAGATGGTTGCCTGAGTTCAGGAGTTCGAAACCAGCCTGAGCAACATGACAGACCTCATCCCTACAATAAATAAAAAAATTAGCTAAGCAAGGTGACACATGCCTGTAGTTTCAGCTATTTGGAAGGATTACCTGTGCCCAGCAGGTCGAGGCTGCAGTGGTCGTGAGCATGCCACAACACTCCAGCCTGGGTGGCAGAGTGAGACTCCAATTCAAACAAACAAGCAAACAGATAAATAAATAAATAGATAAATACGATACAAGTCATAGAGGGCATCTGGATCTAGGCAGGGGGTGGGGTGGTCCTCTGAGCCTCAGATCTAAAACTCAGCATTACCAGGACTAGCATTTTCAGTATCACCCATTACTTCCACCAGGTGCCCCTCGGCACCAGGGGCACAAGAATTTCTCAGACGGACTTGCTGAGGAGGTAGGAGTGCTTGTTGTTGTCTAACCTGCAGCTCAGAGCTGCACTACATAAAAACATGTTTCATTTACACCAAGGAAGGCTTCTCTTGGCCATGGCCATGCTACTGTCCTACCTAGAGGTAAGGGGGCATGTCTGAAGGTGAAGCCCACCTGCTCTCTCCTCCCAGGACCACGTCACACACACACAGCTGCATCTGCTGATAACTCACTTATCGATGTTACGGGCATTCCTCGTTTTCAGCCACTCGGGGAAGGTGGACCAGTCGTCAGAGGGATGCCACGGCTCCTGCCCCACGAAGAAGTCTGGAACAATGGTTCTGTAAAAGATAGGTGTGAATTGAGCTCGGTTTCAGAATCGCTTGGACTCGGTGTTTTGCTCACATTTGTTAAGAAGCTTGGTTGGGCTCAGTGGCTCACGCCTCTAATCTCAGTACTTTGGGAGGTCGAAGTGGGAGAACTGCTTGAGCCCAGGAGTTCAAGCCAGCGTGGGAGAGACAGTGAGACACATCTCTAAAAAGTTTTTTTTATTTTACGTTTATTTTTATTTTTAATTAAATTTGCTGGGCATGTTGGCTCATGCCTATAAGCCCAGCACATTGGGAAACCGAGGTGAGAGGATTACCTGAGCCCAGGAGTTCGAGACCAGCCTGGACAACATGGCCAGACTGCATCTCTACAATAAAATAAATAAACAAACTAGCTGGGCGTGATGGCATGTGACTGTCATCCCAGCTACCCAGGAGGCTGAAGCGGAAGGATGGCCTGAGTCAAGGAGGTCGAGGCTGCAGCAGCTGTGATTGTGCCACTGCCCTCCAGCCTGGGACAGAGCAAGACTCCAACCTTAAAAAAAATGTAAGTTGGCCATTGCTTTGTTAAACTCTGGTGTGTCCACGTGGCTCTTTGCGCTATGGCCGCCATGTTTCCTGGCTTGGCCCCCTCCCCTACCTTGGGGAGGTGAACTTTCTCTCTCTCTCTCTCTCTGTAATTTACTTGCTACATAGACTACATTTTCCAATCTAAACAATTTAAACAAAATTGTTTTAATTAAATGTAGTAAATTTTAAAAAACACTTGCTAAGTTGATGATTCTGGCTCGGAGGAGAGGAAGACATGAAGGCCAACTCTGAGAGCAGCAGAGGCCACCGGGCACAGGGCCAGCCCACCCGGGTTTCACAAGCACAGGTGCTTGCTCTCTGGAGACCTGCTTGTCCCCAGACCTGGGGAATGCTGAGGCCGTGGGTGGGGCACACTCCCCACTAGATGCACCCACCCAGGACACAAGGGTGCCTGGCCTGGGGCGGGTGGCTCTGGGGACCACTCCAGCCCCCAAGAAGTTGCACCCCACAGCTGGCCTTGGGGTCTCCTGGCCTTCCACATAAGCCTAGGGCCCGAGGGCACACCTGGGTGACATGACCAGTCACCATGACCAAGCAATTTTCCCAGCCACTGCCAAGGTGCCAACGCGGCATGACTCCCTGTCCAGAGGGTATGGTCTAAACAGGTTCTAAAAAGGGTGGCAGAGTGGGGACGAGCCTCACCAGAGTCCAGGCCATTCTTCCAGGCAGGTCCACCCAGAGGCATGGGAGCCAGAGCCACCCTGGCCAGATAACAGTTTTCTAAAATGGAATCACCACCTGGTTAAAGGAACACAGCTCCTCCCACAGGAGTGGAAAGAAACTGAAACTTGAATCAGAGAACCCCCATTACACCTGGGCCTGGTGGCCCACGCCTGTAATTCCAGCACTTTGGTAGGCCTAGGTGGGAAGATCGCTTGAGACCAAGAATTCAAGACCAGCCTGGACAGCATAGTGAGACACCATCTCTGCAAAAATTTTAAAAATTTCTAGACAAGGTGGTGTATGCCAGTGATTCTAACTTTTCAAGAGACTGGGGTAAGAGGATCACTTGGACCCAGGAGTTCGAGGCTAAAATGAGCTATGATTGCGTCGCTGACCCAAGGAAGGAAGGAAGGAAGGAAGGAAGGAAGGAAGGAAGGAAGGGGAAAGGAGGAAAACCGAACAGGTAACACATAGCAATGCCCAATCCCAGAGGATTATCTTGGGGACAAAATAAGTTGTCTAGATGTGAAAGTGTTTTGTATGCCACGGTGACTCTACTTATCTTATATGTTTTGATTCCAATGAAGGAACCCACCATAAAACTACACAATGGCAACCCACCCGATCAGCGGCTGGGAGATCAGGGCAGCTGCAGCCTCCATCTTTATGACCGGCTTCCCAGTCTGCAAAATGAGAGCCACAACAGTTCCTCCCTCGAGGGGTGGCTGGAGGTATTCAGGGCAATGACTCTGGGAACACCCAGAGCACTGGGTCCAGCTGAGCCAGCAGGCAGTTGGGTCAGTTATCTTTATTTGTACTGGGCTTGCCTCTGGAAAGGTAAGTTGCCTCGTCCCCAGGAAGGAATCTGGGGACGTGAAAAATATGAAACATCCTGTGAGAATCATCTATTCATTTAATGGTAAGTTTGCATCACGCTGTGGTGAGTGATTCCTTTAAACTGGTTTCTCTTCCTAGAAAAATGAGATAGGTGCCCCACTCGGATTTCCAGCTTCTCTTTTTGAGAAAACAATAGAAATCCGGGCAGGTGAGCCAAGATCACAGTGTGCTGGGTTTATGCTTTTGGATGCCAGACAGGAAAGTACGGTTCCGGCTCTCCTCTGTGCCTTATGACAGCTTTTCCCAATGCTAGGAACAAATGAGAAGCAAATAATGTCAGGCTTAGTCAAAGATGCCATGTGCAACCGGCCACAGTGGCTTTAATCCCAGCACTTTGGGAGGCTTAGGTGGGGGGACTGCTTGAGCCCAGGATGGGCAACATGGCAAGCCCAGCATGGGCAACATGGCAAGACCTCATTTCTACAAACAAACAAACACAAAATCAAAAAATTAGCTGGATGTGGTGGTGCGTGCCTGTACTTCCAGCAACTCAGGAGGCTGAGGTGGAAGGATCGCCTGAGTCTAGGAGGTCGAGATTGCAGTGGGCCGTGATTGTGCCACTGCACTCCAGCCTAGGTGACAGAGTAAGCATCCAACTCCAAAAAAAGAAAAAGGAAAAGGAAAAGTGGCTATGGCCTCTTGACCAGACAAAGAAGTAAATATTGGGAGAGAAGTATGGTCTCACTGTGCTGTTTCTGGACCCCAATCTAATTCAGACGGGCCATGATAGTATGTTTGGAGCAGGGGACCCACGGCTGCCCTGCATCCCAGTAGGCCTGTGAAACCTGACATGAAGCTGAGATGCTTTGAGGGCCAAGTAACAGAACCATCTCAGAGTTGGTAAGGTCTGTCCAAGGGTCCAGTGCCTGTGTCTGGGCAGGGCTCCCACATGGGGAGAGAACCCTCAGTGTCTGACAGGTCTATAGGACCAAGGACCCCCAGGAGGACCCAGAGCCCAGGGGCCGGGGTAGAAGCAGCAGGCTCCACCAGGTAGGGGTGTCATTTCACAAACATTTTCCATTTACCTCCACCACAGGGACATAGGAAGGATATTACGTGACTGAGAACACTATATGGTCACATTGGATTTTTTAAATTTTTAATTTTTTCTCCGTAAGACCCTCTGAAATTTTTTTCTTTCTTCAAGCAAACAAAATAAAAACCTTACCAATAAATTCACATGAATTTAAACAAAGGAAGGGTTTGGTATACGTACGTGTATCCATTTCCAGCGATCATGTCAGCCATGTATCTGATATTGGGCAACTGCCAGCCGAATATGTCTTGAATGACAATCACAGCTTTGCCTGCATCGACAGGGGATCTGGTCACATACGCCTTGACGTGCTCCACTTGAACTTCATGCCCCATCCCTCCATACTCTATCCTGTGACCAATGTCACATGGACAAGGGCAAGCTTCGTTAGCCATGGGAGACTGTCAGGTCGGGCTTCAGAGAGAGAAATGCACATTATGATGGGAACGATGAAATTGAAAGATTACAATTAGTAAAATCAAAATACCCAGACAGAGTAGCTCACGCCTGTAATTCCAGCACTTTGGAAGGCCAAGGCAAGAGGATTGCCTGAGGCCATGGGTTGAGACCACCTTGGGCAACATGGCTAGACCTCATCTCAACAATACATTAAAAAAAATTAGCTGGGCATGGTGGCACATGCCTGTAGTTCTAGCTGCTTAGAAGGCTGAAGAGGAAGGATCACCTGAGCCCAGTAGGTTGACGTTGCAGTAGCCATGATCATACCATAGCACTCCAGCCTGGGTAACAAAGTGAGACTCTGGGTCAAAAAATAAAATATAATAAAATAAAAATCACAGGAAAAGATTCACTGTAATACATAACAATGGTATTTGTTATGTAAGAAGTCGGTGACAAGCCGGCTTGGTGGCTCAGCCTGTAATCCTGCGCCTTGGGAGGCTGAGGTGAGTGAATTGCCTGAGCCAGCAGGTTCGAGACCCGCCTGGGCAACTTGGTGAGACCTCATCTCTACAATAAACCAAAAAATTAGCC